ATTCTTTACTACTGCCAACTTACCGGACTGACGCAACTTTCAGAAATGATGCAATAATTTTTTTCCAAATATTTTTTATAAATTGCCCTTAACCAATAAAAAGAGAATTAAAAATATAAAGTCACATGCATAATTACCTTGATCGAATGAAATTGAAGAAAACACGCTTTACCGGATATAGAATAATAAAAGAATTTTCACTTTTGAAAAACTTTTTTTTCCACCTTGCTCAGAGCAGTTAGAAGGAAACCATGTAATCGCGTCTATATATGCATCAGCAAAAACTGGCAAGTGTTAAGGTAAGTTTATGCTAGAAATGCCACATCACTGGCGCTACTGTAGCGCTCACAAATTGGACACTGCCAACTTATAATACTGCCAACTTACAGGACTCTCCCCTTATAACAAATTACTTTTATAAAAACTTTCTCAATCCTAACAGTAATTAATCTCAACTTCAATTTTTTGTGAATCGCGTGTCTATTTCTCTTCGTAGACACGTAATTTCTACTTTACGATTAAAGAGCGTTTCTTAGTCGCATAATATATACATACGTTCTTCTTCAAAATATTTCATCGCAAATATTTCTCGTAGTATAATTACGATTAAACAGTTGAGTCGAGTCCTTTTTTGTCTATAAAATTTGTTATGCTCTCCTCCACACACAAATCTCTTTCGTTTTAATGTAATTTAAGTTCTCGCAGCTCTATAATTTCGTCAAGTTGAGGACTAAGATAAAGTACGATATTCGCGGAAATGCACGCTCTCTGAAAACTAGAACGCACTTCTCCAGATTAAAGAAGAGAACTCGTGCAACACAAGAAATTTCCAGCTGACGAGGGAAAATCAAAGGACGAGTAGAAATGTAACAGTCAAGACAAAAACAAATGACGTATGATCAATGTGCGGTAAGTAATTTATTATTGTCTTATTTTTAGAAAAAAAAGCAGACAGCTCACAACTTGGATAATTTAAATTAATACTCAAAGATTAGGTATTTTAAGATTAGGTATTTTACTCTTTTATCGTATTTAAAATAAAAATCAATAAGAGTCAAGCAAAGATAATTAATCAAGACTGACATAATCCGTGATAGCCAGAAATTAAATGATCTCATATACAAACTGCGAGAAACAGTCAATCCTATTAAAAATCAGAGATTGAAAAATCGATGGCAAGTATCATTAAATAATTTTTTTTGTCAGAAAATAGGGTAGTATAGAATTTATCAATCCGTAAATAAACAAGAGTGTAATGAACTACATCTAAATATAATAAGGTGTTCAAATTATAAATACGGATTACAGCGATCGAGAGTGATTATCGTAGCGCGTGAACTAGCATTACCAAAAACCGGTGTTTACTGCGCGTCTCGCATATCCTTACAAGCATACCCCGCTGCTTTCATGGATAAGACAAGAGAGAGCCCGCCTCCGCGAAAGCGGAGGAAACGGTGGCGGTAGAGTACGGGACGGGATCCGAGAGGTGAAGCGCTTTTAATCCAGCGTCGACGTTTCGCGCGATCCGTCTTTGTCGCGTCGCCGTTGAAGCCGTGGGGAGCGGCTACCGTTGTCGCTCGACTCGCAAAGTTTAACAGAGTGACCGCGAAATCACGCGAGTACGAGAGAGAGATTCTTCAATTAATATAAATTTTATTCCTCTCCAACGCGAGAATTTTATCGGACGCTCCCCTGCGCATCGCGATGTTTCAATTCCCCGATATCGCAAATACCTCGGTAAGGCCAAGCGTTAATTTGAATTGTTGAAATAGCTCTCTCTCTCTCTCTCTCTCTCTCTCTCTCTCTCTCGTGAATTATGAATTATTAATACGAGTCCTCGAGGGAAAAAAAATTATTTCGTTATTAATCCAAAAAAATCGAACAAATTCCCACCTGGAGGGAAATCGCGGACTTTTTAGTCTCCCTTTGACGGCGAAAAGCGTGTCGCCGGGACATCAGGGCTTCTCCGGATGTCGCTGCGCCTACAGCCAGGTGGTACGAAGAGAGAGAGAGAGTGAGGAGGGGGGGGGAGGGGGAGGGGGTGGCGGGCCATCGCTGCGAACAACGACGCCAACGCCGTAAACTCGACAGCCCCCGACGTGGTTCTTGCTCGCCGCGTTGCCGCTGCTCTGCAAACCGGGGTCCGGGAAGAGGCGGAAGCCGGTTGACGCAGTGAGAGACACGGCCACCTGGGAAATACCCCTTAATGCCCGCAAAGCTGCCTCACTCTCGTACATCTCTCTACCCGTGCTCTCGCGGCATTTCCATTCCCCTTTCTCTCCCTTCTCGTTGTTCTCGCTTCTCTCTCGCGAACCCTTTCCATCACAGTGCGCGCACACACACATACACACACACACACACACCTCTCGCTCCTTCTTCACTTCCTCCTACATTCCGTTACATCGTCTCTTTCGCTTTCTCTTCCACCCCATTGTTTCCTGCTTCTCTCTCTTCCTCTCTTCGATGAATCTAACTCTAAACCTAAATCCTTCTGAAAATTGATAAAGGATATACAGCAAAAGAGATTGATGAAAGAATAAATTATAATTTAATTATTAAAGAATTCTCTTTCTCCGTTTGAAATAAGTCAGTTTGCAAATATCACTGGTTTACAAATTTTGAATAATTTTTGGTACACGAAATGAAAATAGTTTTTTTTAACGCACATTTCGGATACTGAATTTGAATTTGTCGCCGGGAAAAATCCATGGGGTCGAATTTTGGATACATACCACGTTGATTGTACTGTTGTTTCAACGATGATGATATTATCACATCGTTTGTCTGATTGTTTGTTTACAGAAATATCGATAAAAATTCATTTTTTATTCACGCTTAAATTTCATGCCGAATAATTTGGATGATGAGTAAGGCAAGCGTTTCCAGCATTTCGGGATTCGACAATTGAGAAACATTATCAGAGATATTTGGAACGAAAATATACTGGGCGCCTGCTGCTGAACTTAAACATGTGAAAGGGAGTCAAGTTTATATTTAAAAAATGAAAATTAAGCGCTATACATTTCCGATTTATTTCCCAATTTTAAAAATGTAAAAAAACCACACAAAAAATATTTTTATATCTCAAAAATTTGATCTGATAAAAATACTTTGATGGTAAATTCGAATTCTGCAGTGTCAAAAATTACTCTAGAAACAATCTTCATATGTTTTTATATAAAACTTTGTTATATAAAACTAGCGTATGTAGAAATTTCTTTTGCTGGTCTAAATAATTAAGTCTAAATAAGTTTAATCAAAACAAGTACACATTTTTAAAACAATATATGTATATTTAATATTAGATATATACAGCGATTGGAAGTAACTTGTTACTTGTAACGCCGTTACCGTTACTTTTTTTGTAACGGATTGGTAACGGCATTATTTTATTTTTTTTTGGTAACTGTAACGGTAACGTAGTTACATTTTTTCGGTAACGGTAACAAATTATGCAGTTACTTTTATCGTTACTTTTTGTATTTTGAACTTTCTGTATTTATGACAAAATTTTTGTAAGTATATTCAGTCTTCAGTTTTTAGTTAGTGTGCGCACAGTTTACTCTTATTTTAAAACTATTTTAAATAATTAAAATATTAATATGACTCTGTGATTGGTTTATGACATCTCAAGAATGCCATAAGTTAATCAACATCACAAATTAAATTGATAAGTATAATAATTTAATAAGATATTGTTACGTTATATGCATCTTAAAATATTTTAAAAAATTTATTGTGAAAAATATCAGCTGAATTACGTTTCAAAATCGAAAATTTAATTGGCGCGTAGTTTGTAAAATTGGATATGTATATATAAATTTATTTTGAAATATTAAACACGAAGCTAAAAGTTCTAGCTCATATCATATCAAAAAGGCTTTCATTTTCGTAGTTGTATTTTTATTATCAGTCTAGTGTCATTGTTGCTTTTATTAATATTAAAACAAAAAACTGAATCTTAAATTATTTAGACTGATTTTGTTTCAACATTAAAAAAGTAACGGAAAAGTAACAAATTGTTATTTTTTAAGTAATGGTAACAATAACAAGTTATTTTTAAAAATTAGTAACTAGTAATGGTAATTAGTTATTTTTTTAACTCATTAACGAGTAACGATAACTAGTTACTTTTAAAAAGTAATTTTCCATTCCTTAAATATGTATCTAACATTAGATATATGTATATCTAGTTATTTTTTTAACTTGCTAACGAGTAACGATAACTAGTTATTTTTAAAAAGTAATTTTCAATTCCTTAAATATGTATCTAACATTAGATATATGTATATTTAATGTTATATCTAATTAGATAGATCTCATCACAGTAAATGTACAGTTCACATATATGTATTATTGCAATTTAACAAACATTTTTATTAAATTCGTCACATTTTTATTATAGATAGATATATATTAAAATGTTAATAAAATATAACATATCTCTTTAAAAAAGAATATAGAAATAGATTCTACATATATATTAAAATATATTCTGATATATTCTGATTCTTAATTTAATGTAAGGTACAAGTTTCCCTACGTCGACCTCGTCGCGCACCGCGATAAAAGTAATGAACTTTAACTTCGACTGCAGGAATGAAGGAGCAAAGGAACAAACGCTCTATGCGACGCAAGTCGACAGAACATGAAGGATAGTTTCACCATCTTTTCCGTAAAACGGGAGGAAGTAAAAAAAAATAGAAACTAGCGAACTGTAAGTTTTACACCATCTGCGCGTTGTTCGGACGAGTTCCAGTTAACGGTTATACTTGGATACCATAAAATACTGCAAACTATCCAGGGATTAAACGACTTTGTTCCATGCCAGTTTTAAGGTCTGCATCTCACGGGAGAAGAAATCACCGATAACAATTAAGCTAAAACCAGCCGACATACGCGGGCTGTAACGTACGTCTCGGCTAAACTTTACGTAGAAATATCGAAAAAGCATAAAAATCTACTCGCGACGATATTCGAGCCGGGCGTCGCTGAAAGGGTTATGAACGAGAGATTTAATGACAAACGGCCGCGTGAATCTAACTGAATTTTCTTCTAAAAAAATTTTCCGCTAAAACGGATTTTTTGCATTGACCGATTTATTTCCGCCCGATTATTCCGTCTCCACCGTTAAAAAATTCGTTCACAATCCGAGTATTGATTATATTTATGATAGATCATGTTCTCTGCTATCTTTCACCTAAATTGATTTTTTCCTTTTTTTACGCAATGCTTTACAGTGGTGCGGCGTCTGTCATCAGTTCTTTTTCTTCCACTTGTTCTCGTCGGCCCGGCTAAAGAGCGCTCCTTTGAGGACGCGGAGCAACGACAGCAGCAGCTTGATCAACCGGATGAGGATGTAGATGAACATCGCGAAGACGACGATCAAAACAAGCCCGATGTCGACGAGGTGACGCTGGTACCAGAGCAGACCCGCGCCGTCGCTGCGGAAGTAAGATCTGCCATTGCCCCGGGCGACGTATTCCGTCCACCATATCGCTGTCTCCAGCGGCGTGGCAGCTCGATCGCGGTAAGCTTTCGAAAGCCTCTGGGCGTTCTCACGGTAACTAAAAGCAGAAGAAGATACCTCGGTGAAGTGTATACCCGATCGCATGCACCATTACTTCTTTTTTTCAACGCGGAAAAAGAAAGTATCTTTCTCTTTCAGTATTTTTATATATCTTTTATTTGTTCTTACTGTTCTAACGAAACAGCAGTTCACGATAACGTAAAAATAACGTTAAAATAAACCGTGATATATCGAAAAGTGACTTTTAATTAATAATCATAAAATAATCATTTTGAAGCTGTTTTGACGTCACGATGAATTTCGCCTGCGTTCTTATCGCATCTTCTCCTCAGATATAGATACATACCTATAGAGTTCAACGGGGTAATTTGAATAATTTCAAACTTTTTGAACAATTTCTCGAAGAGTAATAATTTTATCCTTAACCTTTAAACCACTATATCGGTCTCACAGACCGCTATTAAAACGTTACTTGTCAACCATTTTCTTATTTGTCACCATTTAAATATATTTTATTTCTATTGTATACGAGATTTTTTTGTTAATCCTCACATTAAAACATAGGTTTCTTTTTCCCGATCACAAATATTCAGAAAACATATATTTTTATTATACATAACTTATAAATTAGCGAGAGCATAATAGCGGTCTGTCAGACCGACATTGTGATTAGTCTAATTTTTTGGAATGTGGTGGTTTAAAGGTTAAATTGAATATGTAGCAGAAAACTGTTTAAAGAATATTTATCCAATATATGAAAAATTATTCTTTAAATCTTGAGACAAAACGTCATTATATCCGATTTATCCTTACAATTTTAGAAAAATTAATTTTAATTTGAATAGCATTGAAAATGAACATTAATATTATAATTAAAACCAAATCTTATATTTAACATTTTATTATATATCTTTGAGAGACCAAATTGAACACAAATTAGAAAAACGTAAAGTGATCATTTTAGTCCCAATATTTTAAGTACGACAAACATAAATAAACGTTTTAATATTGATATTATAAGCAAATAATAAAAGCAAAACATTATATTTATCTATTGTGTTTAAATATTAAATTGCACTTTTCAGACAAAATTAAACAGAAATTAATAAAAGAATCTATTGCTTTGAGATATTTAACTCTTTTTAAAGTTTTCTACAACACTACCAAACACAGCGGGATACCCAATAGAAGTTCTATGAACTTCATTTTCACCATATTTGTTTTTGTTTAGATTGTACTTTTCTGTATGGAACATGAAATAGTTGTGCAGCTCCTAAAACCGAGATCACACCATCAATGACAGCTGTAACGGCTTGTTTCATGCTCTCTTTGCTTCAATTCAATCGAGTATTCTTTTTTTTATAAATGTCTGATGTAATGAAATGTACCTTAAAATCTCTTATTTTTCTGAAATCCTTGCAAATACTTACTATTATTCAAATTCCCCGCTGTTCAAATTACTCCTACTGTAACGGGAGAGAAACGACACGTGCGCGTTAAAAGGGCGATTTGGAACTCTCATATGGAGAGAATATCCATTTTCATTCGCGTCTAATTCGCGGAGGAGAGCGTCCCGGCATTCGGACACCGCGCGGCCGAAAACACCGGATTGATCGATCGATCAAACCAGATTGGTCGTTCAAAATCGGGGATGACGATTTCGGGTCTCCCATACCTACATGTATAAACGCGTGTTTGGCGAAGCGTATACGTCGCGCTGGTCGGCGAGCAAACACATGCGCGTAATCGCCGCGAGATGCGCCGCGACGAGCCGCGACGCGCCGCGGATTGTAGGGCCGAGTCAGGCAAAAAAAAAAATCTGCGACGGCGAGGGATAAAGGGAGGATAAAAGGGCAGAATGACAGCGCGCGCGGACAGCGGCCGAGCGACGGCGGGCGGGAGAAGGGGGAAGGGGGAGGACGGCCGCGCTCGCGCGACCACCCTCGGCGAACCCCGAGCACACAATTTACCCGATCGGTACTCTCCATTATTCGTGTTTACAGCTGCAGCCCGCGAATCAACCTGATGCACCGCCGCGGCCGCGTCGCGCCGTGCCACGCCATGTCATTCCGTCCCCGCGCTATCCCCCCTTTCCCACCTGACCAGGCGGCACACCGGAGGCCTGACCCTCCTGTCACCCGAGCGCCCGCTCTCGTGCCCCGTTATTTGCCTCGGTCAAATTCAGTTGCAGCCCCCGCGGTGGTTTTGAATTAACCATCAATTTTGGGCGCACCCGACGCTCCCTTCCGCTCGGGGGCCGCGCCTGTCGTCGTCGGCTAGTCCCGAAACGATGCTTCAGGAGTGTCGCATAAAGCCTGAGGCGCAGAGGGAGGAGGGGGAGGGCGGCGGCAGGGGAGGAAGAGAGGAAAGGGGTAATTCATCACAAGGCAAACCTCGCGCGACTGCATCGAACGGCCGAAAATCACCAGACGGCGTGGACAAAATTTCTTTTTTTTTTTTTCGCCGCGAGTTAACGAGTGAAGGATTATCATTTTTCCCGGGGGCAGAAGAGAATAGAGGGCGAACAAGGCAGAAAGAGGAAGAGAGAGAAAGAGAGAGGAAGAAGGGGGAAGCAGAGTTGGCTCGGGAAGCACCAGCGTAGGGCCGTCGCGCGCGAAATTTAACATCGCATAAAACGCATCCACCTTCTGGCTACACCCCCGGGAACGTTTCCGCCGGCCGTGCGTGTTGTGTTTCTTTTTGCATTTACAAATTATCCGCGAGTGCGCGGGACGCCAGCCGACCGCCCGAGCGCTGCCACCGCCGCCGCCGCCGCCGCCGCCGCATCAATATTGAACGCGCGACGTTAACCACGGTCTCGTGTTACACCGGCACTCTGCGACGCGGCAGATGCATTTATGCGCGGCTGCACGGCAGCTCATCTGCGACGGTTAATGCAAGTTCACGCAAAAAAATGACTTAGTAATAGTGGCTAAATTTCAAAAACTGAATCAAACTTAGCTATAAGAGCTGCCGCCTTAATGTCATTGCTAATTGTAAGTTCTGGCTATTACAGATAAAAAACATTTACTACAACACAAAAAATTTATTAACTGAAATTAAAAGCATATATTAGTTCGGGCAGCTAAAAAGATGGGATGCGTACCTAAATGTCTTATCATTGCATCATTGCACACATTTATAGCACATAGAACAAAGTTTATAGCTGCGCGCGAAAATTTGATTTGTAATTGTATTTGCAATGTGGCATATGCACTTCTACATTTAGCATTTATACACTTCTCAACAAAATTAAAGCATCACTTACTCTACCCTCCAAAAATAGGCAAAATTCAAGAGAGTGTAACTTCGTCAAAAATGATCGTATCAAGATGTTCTAAAAGCATTTTACAGCTTGAAATCTCTACTTTCCAAATTGAAGCAAAAAGGACCATTTTTGCTTTAATGTTGAATAACTCGGTGAAAAAAAATCGTACAACGCTCAACAAAAAAGCAAATTAAAGGTAAAGATTCACTCTTTCGAAAGCTGTAAACTGCATTTGCATGCGATTTTTAATTCGCGCCATGGAACTTGTCAAAGTTCGTAAAAATTGAGATTCGTCGGGTCTCCTTTTTTATCCGTGTAATTCTATAAAAGATCAGTAGAATCGTTTTCTCAAGTACCGATTTGGAAAGTAGAGATTTCAAGCTGTAAAATGTTTTTTTGAACATCTCAATACGATCATTTTTGACGAAGTTACACTCTCTTGAATTTTGCCTATTTTTGGAGGGTAGAGTAAATGATGCTTTAGTTTTGTTGAGAAGTGTATTTTGCAATACCTAAGCTATATACTGCAAATATTGTTACTCTATTGCTAAGACAAAATAGCATAGTAAATAGATTCGGCTAAATATCATTTGATTTTAGCAGCAAATATTTTTTGATATAGCACTTACATTTTAATAACTAATAAAGTGAACTTCGGCAGCAACGACATTAGCTGTCCCTATTTCAACGACACATCTTAGCTGCCATAGCTATATTTTAGCTTCATTGGCTATTCCTTTTTCTGCGTGTTAATTGTCTGAACAAATCTCTTGGAATTTAAAAATTTTTATAAAGTTTTATACTTTTGCCCTTGAGCTACTGCTAACAATATAACTAAAGTCGAACCTCGATAACTCGAATCTCAAGGGAAGAAAAAAATGCTTCGAGTTATAGAGTCTTCAACTTATCGAAATTCGAGTAAAAGAGGGTTCACTCAGGGAAATGTTTCGCTGTTTCAGCTAGGCTTCTAAATATTACACTTAAATTATATCGCTGTTTTTTGTATCTGCTAAAAAATTGTTTGTCATACGTAGAATTTATAGCAGCAATATTCTAAGAATATATACAAAAAAACATAGGTCTCATAACTAAATATGATTGGAGTCTGGACTGATTAAACGTCATAGAAGAACTTTCATGCTAAATTTGACAAATAGTTCAGATATAATTTCTGTTATCTATATTGATTAAATATACAACATATATGATATCGCAGTGCTTACTAATCATTTATTCGTTTTAGCTAAATTTTCGTACTTAAATAATTCTCGCTATAATTGCAAGATTACTTTTTTCAGTGTTAAAATATAAAAATTCGACTTAAGGAGGCTTTGTACGAGAGTTCATAATTTTCCAATTATAATACTTTTTAAAGAAAAAAAAATCAATATTTGACAGTCAATTATTTATTGCATACATATAATAAATGTTATCATAAAATATCAGGCTATTATTCATGATTACGCATATAGCTACAACTTCAAATTAAAAACAGCGACAATAGAAGTTCGACTTATAGAAGTGAACTTCGACTTGTAGAGATCTGGCTATTTTAAATTCGAGTTGCAGAGATAAAATAATACATCTAAATATCTGACAAAAGATTTTATTTCGATTTATAAAGGTTTTCCGCAGTGGAACGAAAGAGAATAAACAAAATTTTCGTCTTATAAAAATTTTCGAGTTGTAGAGGTTCGAGTTATCGAGGTTCGACTGTATTTGTAGAATCAAAATCAAGAGAAACATCAATAGCTCAATTTGTAAAACAA